TACACTCAGCATTCTTTTGGACAACGCCAGCGGACTCTGGCTAGGTCGCCTCTTTCTCTTCATCCTGAAGCGCGCGATGAGCCACTTCACGCGCTGGGAGCTCAGCACAGGACCCCGTGTCTCCTAAGGCTCTCGGCCGAGCTCCCCTGACAAGGCCGCGCTGCAATCCAGTACGAAGCTGTTGGATGTAGTTCAGAGCCCGCTCCCACCACCCATACCTCCCCCTTGCTTCCTCGTTCTTGGATCGGCGGTTGAGGGAGGGGCGAGAAGGAGGGTTAGAGGGGGGACCTGGAGCGACGAATTTGTTACTTGATTTTTTGACGGGACAGGGGGGGTGCCTTGGACGCCCAGCCAGGCACGCCCAGTGCCGTTGGCCTCGGGCTCGTCGAGGCCCGAGGGGCATCACCCCCAGCCCAGCGAGATATTGTAAGTTGCTCCTTCCCGAATGAGTTTCTCACGAGGGATTGCACGGTGCGTGTCACCAAACACCTCCTTGGATGAGCAGCCTCACCAGGGATCGTGTGAGGTACAGCCTTGCTTCGAACGACGGCTCGAGGTCTGCAGGTCGCAGCGGACAAGACCACACGCAATGCCGAGTCTTCTTCTTCCTCATCATCCTCGTCCTCCTTATCCTCGTCCTCTTCCTCGTCCTTCATCATTAGCATGATGATTGTGATACGATGCATCATCAGCCCAATATGTTAGCACTTCCTCGTCCATTCGGATATGGTGCTGCACGCGTAGCCAGAGGTGGTATGGACTCCGAAGGACGTCAAGTAGAGTGATCCCCTTTCCTCCTTCTCCCTATTGCGAAGGCCTTACGGCCGGCGCCGCCGACCCTGAAGACGATGACGACGAAGACGAGGAAGACGACGCGAAGGAAGAGGACGATGAAGAGCAGGAGGCGCAGGGGGAGGACGTGGAGGACGCGGCGGAGCAGCACGGCACGGAGGAGCAGGATGCGCTCCTCCTGGGCTCGACGCCGGCCCTGGACGCGAAGGGCTATCCCGGAGATGTGTTGGATGGTCGGCGGGGCCCTCCGGCGCCCCAGCGTACCGGCGTTCCCGAGGCCCTCCGGGGGCGCCCCCGGGGCCCCTCGGCGAGTCGATCCCGGCCACCAGCCAGCACCAGCAGCCAGCGACGGCGGCGACGACGGACGACGGACGACGGAGGACGGACGACGACGACGGACGACGGACGACGGACGACGGACGACGACGACGACGACGACGACGACGACGACGACGACGACGACGACGACGACGACGACGGCCCCCCCGGGACCCTCCGAACCTCCCTGGGCCCCCCAGGGCCCCCTCTGGGACCCCCCAGGTGCCCTTCGGAAAAGCGGTAAAGCGGAAGCGCGGGCGACGACGGCGACGACGGACGATGGACGACGGACGGCTGGATGTTTCAGTATTGAATGGCTTTCGGGCCATTCCGCCACCGTGTGTTTGGATTGTGAATCAGAAGCCACTCGGATGTTCGTTGGGGTTTCATGGGGTGTTTCTCAGAGGCATCTTAGAGGCAGTGTCGAGGCCTCTTCAACCATCGTAGCGCCTCCTAGGGGCGTTTCTGCCAGCCTCTTGGCACCTTTTGGGGCCTCTCGGAAGCTTTTTGGGGCCTCCTGTGGGTTTCTTCGGGCGGAAGGCTCGGATTTTCGTGTCGCATGTCTTATCATAAGCCTCTTTTGGGGCCGTCTTGGAGCCCTCGTGGGCCGTCGCGGGGCTCTCTTGGGAGCCTCTTCGGCCGTCTTGGGGCGCTTTGGGAGGCCTGTTGCGCTGTTCTAGAGCGTCGGAAGGCAGACGAAGCTGACAAACCCAAAAATATTGAAAGACGATAATGGGAAATCAATGACTTGTTGTTTTTGTTTTTTTCCAGCCTTTTCGTGGTCCTCTTGGAACGCGCTGGAACCCTCTTGGGAGAGAGGGCCGTCTTGGAAGCTTCTTAGGTATTCGCATGCGTTTGCTGGGTCGCCGCAGGGAGGCAGGCCGTCATATCTGACCCAGGCGCAGCCCCCGGGACCCCCCACCCTGGGACACCCCCCTCCCCCCGGCAGGGGAGGGAATACGGGAAGGGTTTCCCCTCGATGCTCAAACGACGGCTCCGAATTTTGCTGCGGGGCGAGCGTGTCGGAATACGAACGAATGACGGACAGGACGAATCGAACGGAAGAACCCTTCACACACGCCGACACGGTCGGCAGATTTATCATACTCGTGCTGTTCCAGGTTTGCACTGATCATCCCCGTCATCCTTGTCAGTCGTCTCTTTGGGATCAGGAAGACGCGCATGCGCTTGAGGCAGAGCACCGGTTTGCCAGAGGACGGGTTCGCCAGAGGACCGGTTTGCCGAGGACCGCTTCGCCAGAGGATTGGTTCGCCAGAGGACCAGTTTCGTCAAGGCCCGGTTTGCCAGAGACCAGTTCGCCAGGCCTGGCTCACCAGGCCCAGTTCGCCAGGCCTGGTTCGCCAGGCCCGTTTCGCCAGGCTTGGTTCCCCAGCCCTGGTTCGCCAGGCTTGGTTCCCCAGACCCCGTTCCTCAGGCCCAGTTCGCCAGATTTGCAGCGGGACGGTGGATGGTGATGATGATGTTGATGATGATGATGTTGTTGATGATGATGATGATGATGATGATGATGATGATGATGATGATGATGATGATGATGATGATGATGATGATGATGATGATGATGATACAGTGAAGGAGAAGGAGGAACAGGAGGAGGAGGAGGAGGAGAAAGAGGGGGACGGGGGTAAGGATGAGGAGGAAGAGGCTGTCGAGGAAGACGAGGAGGATGAGAAGGAGGAGGAGGGGAAGAAGAAGAGTGAAGGACGTGTGGACGTACAGGTGGGGGGTCGCCGTCATCGCCATCGTCGTCGACGTCGTCGCCGTCGTTGTCGTCGTCGTCGTTGTCGTCGTGGTCGTGGTCGTCGTCGTGGTCGCCCTTGTCGTCGCTGTCGCCCTTATAGTCGTCGTTGTCGTCGTCGTTGTCGTCGTTGCTGCCTTCGCTGCCGTCGTCGTCGTCGTTGTCGTCGTCATTTCGTCGTCGTCCTTGCCGCCCACGTCGTCGTCCTCGACGTCGTCGTCGTCGATAAGTCCTCGTCGTCGTCGGCATTGCCGCCCTTGTCGTCGCCGTCGTCGTTGTCGTCGTCGTCGCCCTTGTCGTCGTCGTTGTCGTCGTTGCCGTCGTCGTCGTCGTCTTGATCCTCGCCGCCTGGTCCGCCGCTCGCCCGCCCGTCAGGGCCCAGCCCGCCGCCAGACCCGCCCGCCCTTTCGGGTCCGCCCGCCCCACCCGACCTGCCCGTTAGGGTACAGTGGAGGCCCATGCCAAGAAACACCCTGCTTGCCTCCAGGGTGCTCTGGATTTCTTGGGCTGCGACGGTTTTGCTTTGGAGAGCGCGACGTGCCCACACCAAAAATCAGTGGACGCCCTAGGGTCTCAGGGCTGGGCTTCTTGTGGAAGGTTCCTGGTGGTCGGGCCCCTGATTACTGCACGCGGGTGCTACCTCGATCACACGTCATAATCTCATTGTCCGGCCCGCCCGACCCGCCTCCTGCCCGCCCATTTCTTGAGGCCCGCTCGCCCGACCCGCCCGCTCGTTGGAGCCCGCCCGCCCGATCCGCCGCCCGCGCGCCCGGCAGGGTCCGCCCGCCGCCAGACCCGCCCGCCGGGTAGGGTCGGTCCGCCCGATTGGACTCGACCGTCAAGATACACGCGGGTGGCTTCCATGATACGTCATACTTTAATGTCCCGCCCGATCCGCCCCCCGCCCGCCCGTCAGGGCCCAGCCCGCCGCCAGACCCGCCCGCCCTTTCGGGTGCGCCCGCCCCACCCGACCTGCCCGTTAGGATGCGCCTGTCATACTTCGATTACGCGTCATACTCTGATGTTCCGCCCGCCCGACCCGCCGCCCGCCTGTGAGGGTCCGCTCGCCCGACCCGCCCGCCCGATAGGGTCCGCCCGCAGTTGTCGTCGTCGTCGTTGTTGTCGTCATCGTCGTCGTCGTTGCCGTTGTTGCCGCTCTCGTCGTCGTTATTCTAGGCATCGCCGATGTGTCGGCGATGCGGCGCGATCCTCCGACCCCATCTACTCTGACCCCATCTAGGAGGCCTCTAGTTAGATATTATCGTCGTCGGCTTCGTCGTTTCGTCTTCGTCGGAGTCTTCGTCGCACTGGTCGACGTAATTAGTGGTCATCGGCGTCGTCGTCGTCGTCCTCATGTCGACGTCGTCGGCGTCGGCGTCGTCGTCGTTGTCTCCCTCGTCGTCGTTGTCGCACTTGTCGTCGCCGTCGTTGTCGTCGTCGTCTTCTCGTCGCCGCCTGGTCCGCCGCCATCCCGCTGGCCCGCCCGTCAGGGTCCCACCCGCCGCCCAGCCCGCCCGCCTGGTAAACAGGGACTCGGGCGAACGGGGACCGGCGACCGGGAGCCGGCGATCGGGGACCAGCGAACAGGGATCCCGGCGAACGAAGACGGGCGAACAATGACCGGCAAACAGGGGACTCGTTGAGTCAGGAGAGGATTGAGACGAGGCATCACACACTGGCTGGGCTGTCATGAAGGCAATGCGAAACATCTTACCAATGACAGGGCGGGAGAAGGGGGGGGGGCAGGCGGGAGAGAGAGAGAAGAGGGGGGGACGGCGGCAGGGCTGGGCAGGAGCATGGCGTCAGCCTCAGTCCCGGGCCGCGCGGGAGAGCGCGAAGACGACCGCGCATCGAGCATCGCGCTCGTCGGCCCGTCCCCATCGTGTTCGGGCCCCGGGGAGCGCGAAGAGATTGCCGCGCCGACCGAAGCGCGAAGCTCGTTGGCGGTCAATCACAGGAGGGGGAAAAGCACACAGACACAATGAATCGTCGATTCCCGGGAGGATATGGGAAAATATGGACACTGGGGGGGAAGACGAAAGCCCAGAAAATCTCGGAATGTATAGGGGAATCCTGGGATTTGTGTGTATTTATTTGTGTCCCAGGGCCCCTTTACAATCGTTTGGCCCAGGTCCTCTCGGTCGCACTCCATCTTCGCCTTGTACCTTCGTGGCACCAACGAGAAGCTGGGCCAGCAGTTGCACGGCGCCCTGCACCTCGTCGACCTCGCCGGGTCGGAGCGGCTCGACAAGTCCGGCGCGGAGGGGGACCGACTCAGGGAGATCATAGGGAACCGAAAGGGCACAGCCCAAATCAGGCGATCGCAAACATGGATCAAGGGGGCGTGGATTAGCGACGGGTCCCGTTTCCATGGGAAATCTTGGATCTCCGCTGCCGAAAGAGGCGGCACCGGCCGCATTTGGGGGAGGGCACCTCCCCCGATCCATGGATTTGGCGCCCGCGCGCCAAATCCATGGATCGCTAATCCATGTTTGCGCGCCCCCGACAAAAACAATGATACGGATGCGCCCGTCCATGTTTCACCGAACGTTTCTGCATATTCCTCATCCGTCTCCTACTCTTATGTCTTCCTGTTGCTGCTCCTCTTCCTCGTCCTCCATCGGGTCAGATCGCGGGCATTGCAAGGATCAGATTCGTCATCTTCGGTTTCCCAGCCGTTTGCTGCAAGTCCCGCGGCCGTGCCACCGCAGCACTCAGTGTGGCGAAGCGTCGAGCCTCGCCCAGGAGGCCGTAACATGTGACACCGGTCGCCTCCATATCTCTCTCTCTCTCTCCATCTCTCTCTATCTCTCTCTCTCTCTCTCTCTCTCTCCCTCTTTCTCTTACTCTATATAGATGGATGTGTATGTAATTGACGGCATGTTGTTCTCCGGCATAACGCTTCGGAACGACAGGGAACCCCGGAAGCACCAGTGGCATGGAATGTGATCGCACAGAGCATCTTCGGCGATTTGGCATCTTCTTGGAAGTCTCGGGGCATGGGCCTACTTCTCCTAGACGAAATCTGGACTCATCTATGTTGGGCAGACAACTTCTTCCTCCTCAGCGGCAGTGCGAAACATGCCGCCATCATGCTACAGGAGCTCACGACCAGGATGTCCACGTACGGCCTGTATTAGAAAGAGGGGTCCCTGGAGTACATTAGCCCAGACCCGCATGCCCCTGAGAGTATCCTGGTCGGCGCCGCCTTCCCGCCGGAAGGTTTCGGAGCTCCTCCCCGAAATGGCCGGATGATCGCATCCAGGGGGAATTCTTCGGTACAGTTGGGCGTGTGCATCGCCAGCACAGGTTGCACGAAAGCCGCCATTGACCATCGCATCAAAAGCCATCAAACTCTTCTGGTCGGAACAGGCTTTCCGCTGTGCCGCTCTACCCCGCAATGAAAGGCTCAGACGATTCAGCGAGCAAGTGGTTCCGTGTCTTCTTTCCGGTTGTGACGGTTGGTTCGTGTCCAGGTGCGTATTCCAAAGGATTTCCCAGCTCGAAGACGGTCTGCTGCGCCGCACGGCTCGCATTCCTCGACGACCTGGTGAGGAGTGGATCGACTACATGCGTCGTGCCGCGCGAGCGGCAAGACTGCTGTACAGACAGAACGGCCACAAGAGCGCAGACGAGCTGATACTTCTCCGTATTCATCGTTTTGCTTCCCACCTCTTCGACCTTAACCCTGCACCAGCCAAGTCCGAACAGCCACGTTCAGTCCAGGCCCGCTGGGTCAATGCAGTCTTCAGCTCCTTCGCGGAAGATGGCTGGCAGGTCACATCGGGCATCCACCGGGCCCTGGGAAGCGCTGGCTCGACGAGGACGGTGTGTTGCGGCAGTGGAGCCACCGGAAGGGATGGCAACGCCGTTCGACATGGGAAGGCCCCTTGGCGGCCTTGCCCAGCCTCAGACCCCTTCGGGTCGTGACACAAATCACGACGGAAACTATTGATATCTTGGGGGTCCTCGGAGCCCTCCCTGGTCCCCCAGCCCTGGCCCCGGGGCCGCCAGAAAACAAGTCCGGACGATAAGCCGCTCCCGGGTAAGGGGTACGCGCTGAGAAAACATCACGGCGTCCACGTCGAAGGGATTCTTCACTGTGGGACTGGTTGGCGGAAACACGCATACCAGACAGCAGGGTGGGCCAAAAAGGAAGGCGACCTCGTGCACAGTGGCCTACAAGCGTGGGGTCTCAACGGCGAGTTCCTTCGAGAAGAAAGGGACAAACGGGCGCAAGCTTCCGCATTAGACTCTGAACAAAAGCAGAAACGTAGACGAGTTTTCATCGATGCTCCCATCACTTGGAGACAGCCGACGAAGTGGTGCATCCTCGCGGACTGCTGGGGCGACAACTCAACCGTGGTCGGCTGGATCAATGGCACGCTCCCGATCAATTCGCCTTACTACAGGGCTCTGGTCTCCACACTGCAGACACGTTTTTGGGAGCTTTGCAACGAGTTCCACCTCCGCACGGCTCGGTACGGTGGTCTCTGGTTCCGACACACATTGACCGAGGGCAATACAGTTGCCGACCAGATGGCGACGAAGGCAATCCAAGACCGAGGAAATCCCACTTCGGATTTCAATGCCGGCTTCCGCCTCGACCCAGCCAGCCCCGTGAAATTCCAGTGCAGCTTCGACGGAGGCAAACAAGGCCCCCTAGAAGGCTGCGGGTGGCATACATCTTGCTGGGACCAAGCTTCTGGTGAGTTCCGCTGCTTTCGACAAGGGTCCGTTTGTTGTTCCCTGGTGCCACTTCCACCGAAGCGGAGCTTAGAGCAGCCGGCACGCTTGTCCAAGAATTGTCTCACATTGTGCGCATATATATATATATATATATATATATAGATCCAGGATCGTAGTGCACGCAGCAGCCACCGGGTGACCACTATTGACTGGGTTTTTGAAGGTCTGTGAATTGCGGTGCCCCACATATGCTAGCACGTTTTCCCTGTCTCCCATTGCCCTTCTCGACCTCGAGATACAACGGCGGAAATGCAAACAAATGTCCAAACGTAAATATATGATATATACACCTGTTTTTTTTATCCGTCTGTTCGAGGGGCGTGCATGGGGGGGGGCCTGGTCCGTCTTGAGGATGTCATGTGCTCCTCGCGGGCCCTGTTTGGACCCTCCGAAACTGTCCTGGGCTGTCCATGTGGGTCTGGAGGCTGGTAGATCTCGCCCCCCGAGCGCGCAGCTAACGTATTCACGGCATGCTCGATTTCGGCAGCAATCGAGGGGGAGTCGTGAGAAGGAGAAGGCTTTCTCAGAAGGCGGCGGGGCTTGTCAGAAGGCCTTTGTCCTCTGAGGTTTTCTGTGTCTTCGTCGAAGACATAGAGAACATGCCAGAAGGCTTGGGAAGTTTTGAGCCTTCTGAGAAGGCCCGCCCCTTCTCACTTCATCCCCAGGCTCGCTGCCGACGATTGATTCCAGATCAATGGTGCATTATGGTTGACCTCAATCGGTATACAGACCGCGTATGCCAACCGATCGTTGTTGGTGTCATTTGGTTGTGTCTTTGAAGAGCGTAGTCTGGAGGAGTTCTGGGTTGGCAGCTCCAAGAACTGCTTCCAGTGCCGCATTGGTTCAAGCACCGTCCTTCGAGAGACATGTGGACTGATCATGCCTGACACAGCGTTGCCCGAAAACGAGATGCATGGACGTCGTATCGCTATTTTCACTCTCCACTCCCCCTCATCTCCCGCCTGCCCCCTCCCCTCTTTCCCAGCCTGCTCCACCCCTCCTGCCCCCTCCTTCCCCGCCGCCTACCCTCCCTTGCGCCTCCGTCCCGCACGATCCCCGAGGAGACGAAGAATATCAACCGGAGCCTGTCATGTTTGGCAGACGTATTCGCCGCCAAGGCCGTGGATGCTGAAACCCGTCGGGGGTGGGTCGGATGTGGGAGAAGGGAAAAAAACGGGGAGGAGGCAAGGGGGGACTGGAGGAGATGGAGGAAAGGAGAGAGGAGACGAGCGTGGATCGAGCTTTGTGCGTTCGGAGCAGCAGCAGCAGAAGCAGCAGCAGCAGGAGGGCCAGGAGGAGGACGAGGCGTCTGCCCCCTTGCACCCCCCTGGCTGACTTCGCGGGCCGGTTGCGGAGCATGACGGGGAGGTGAGACCCAAGCCGAGCGACGCTGTTGCGGTGGCGGCCAGTCCCAAGTGGAATCGGCAGAGCGGAGGCCGATTCCGACTCGAGGACGCCCTCAGGCCCGTCAGAGCCAGGGCTCGCGCGGTGCTTGGGGAAGACGAAGGCGGGCGCTCAACGAGAGGGGGAGCCGTGGTGCCCGAGGGGCCTCTGGGGTGGGGCACCTGCGCGTGCAGAGCGACACCCCTCGAGCTCCTCGCCTCCCCCCTGTCGCGACGGGCCTCCTCCTCCTCCTCCTCCTCCTCCTCCTCCTCCTCCTCCTCCTCCTCCTCCTCCTCCTCCTCCTCCTCCTCCTCCTCCCCGTAGGTGTGCACGGCCAGGGGAGGGGCGGGCCGCCGTCGGGGGCGGCCCCCAGGGCTCGGGGAGAGCTCCGGGGGCTCGGGGCGGGACCGGGCCCTCCGCTTCTTGGCCGGCCCAGCGACTGGCCGGCGAGATCGGGGGCGGGCTCCCCCCCTCCACCTCCCCCAGCCTTGGCTCCCCGTCCCCCCGGGGAGCTTCGCGGAGCCCTGCGCGCCGCGCTGCGCTTCTGCGGGGGTCCGGAGGTGCGGGGCCAGGCGGGGCACGGGCGTGTGCTCTCCTCAGTCTGTCCGCCTGCGTTGCTGCCCCCCCGTGCGCCGCTCGAGGTTTGCGTCCATGCTTGCGCTCGGGATGGGCAGCGTGCCCACATGTGTTCGTGTTCCGACCGACCGACCGAGGAGGATGGGCAGGACGAGGATAGGGAAAGATGAAGAGGACGAGCAGCAGCAGACGGGATGAAGAGGACGAGCAGGAGGAGGAGGAGGAGGAGGAGGAGGAGGAGAGGCATGAAGGGCCCCCCGCCGCGTGAGGGTTCGACGGGAGGCTCTTGTTGTAGGGACTCGAGGGTGCGGGAGCGCCGGTTTCCATTGCCGAACGATCCGTCTTCTTCCCGCCCCGCCTCCTGCACGAGGCTGGAGCTTCCTCATCATATTTCCGACGTCGCGAATCTCCTCCAGCCCATCCAGAAACGATACCCAGGCGAACTACCATGGTCGGGGAAGTGCGGGAGCACGCTGTGGAACAGAGAGGGCGTAAAGCCGCCGAGCCGAAATTCGAGATCTGCTTGAGCATACCCAGGGCTCAGCCAGAAATGCCTTTGCAGATTGTTGGATGTGGGAGCCTCGTCTTAGGAGCGTAGTCGGGCAGTATCGGGGCCCTCTCGGGCCCATGCTGGAAGCGTTCGGGCGGCTATCGTCGGGACATGGGGTCCGTGGGGATCGAAGACCGGAGTTCTGGTTCACTCGTAAGTTTGGTGTGGACATGCTCTGAACGGATGACAGGCGTGATTCGTGATTTGGTTCACGCTTGTGCCACGCTAGTTGCATTGAGCCCTGGTTCGCAGAATGTGCTCCACTCCGTGCGTCACAGCCGTGCTGCCTTGGCGTTGTGGCTTCTCTGGCGGCCGGCAGCTCCCTGCGCGCGTTCTGCGCGAGGCCGAGGGGCGCAGCCACGTGCCGTTCCGCAACTCCAAGCTGACATACCTGATGGAGTTCCGCCCTCGGCTGCTGACCGTGTGCGTACACCTTAGGCGATGCTTAAGAAAACCCAAGTTTTCGGCCAGGGTCTCGATTATTCTTAACGTTTCGATGTAAATCTGAAGATTTTAGTAGACATGTTGGGTTTTTATTCACGTTCTGAGACTATGAATTTCTTAACCCATGATTTCTTAAGCATTTCGCAGGGTGTACTATCCCGAGCTGGATAGCCGCGCACCTCCCGAGCTGGCCCACTGGGCGCCATTGTCGGAAGAACGTGTTGCTGACCTCGGACGTTCGGTGGGGTCGACGCGCACGCGGGCGCGTGCTCTTCGCTGCGCGCGACACTGGGCTGAGCTGCTGTCTTGCCCCCAGGAAGTCCTTACCCTTGAGTTGATGGTGTTCCTAACGCACGGTGTGCTGTGAATTTGGAGCATTATGAATTCTCATGGTTGTCAATCCTCATCTTTGTCGTCGCATTCTTCTTGAAACGGCCGCACAGGCAAAACCAGGTAAGGAGCGGTGTCATTTCAGAATCGCGCACACGAGGACCTCGGATGTTTCTTCGGCGCATTCGACTCTGTCGATGATACCGCTTGTTTCTGCGATGTCACGATCTGCGGTATCGGTGAGTGCTTTCTGCAGCTGCTTCCGATTAGCCGATGTTCTCGTCGGCGATGTATCGATGATCTATGTCTGTGAGGGCTGCCTGGCGTCCGAGGCCTTGCCTCAGCGGTCAGGGCAAGACGCTCATGCTGGTGAACGAAGAACCAAAAAAGGCACAATCATGAACTTTTGGAGGTCCGCGCAGATCTCCTGGAGCGGCGCTGGGCCCCCCTGGCGGCGCCTCCGGCGCCGCCACTGACGCGCTCCGCGCGCCAGGGAGGGCCCAGCGCCAATGCAGGAAAAACCCGCGCGGAGCTCCAAAATCGGCGGAAAGCAAGGGGGGAGGTGAGAAGGAGGAGGCCTTCTCAGCAGGCGGCGGGACTTCTCAGTAGCCCTCGAACCGTCCAAGAGGTCGTTGTGTCTTCGGGGAGGGCGTCGAGCACCCCTCAGAAGCCTGGAGGCCTTCCGAGCCTTCTGAGGAGGCCCGCCCCTTCTCGCTTCCCCCCCGCCCCACCGGGTCTCGCCGCCGAGTCTATGCCGTTGTTTGCTCCTCGAGGTGAACGTGGGGCCAGAGGCGGACAACGCCCACGAGACGCTGTGCTCGCTGCGCTTCGCCCAGCGGGTGAGCCAGTGCACCACAGGCGGAGCGGGGGGCCCGTCTGGAGAGGGAGGGGGGCGAGAAGGAGGGGCGGGAGAGGACGGCCACGAAGAGGAGGAGGTGGTGGAGGAGGAGGAGCAGGAGGAGGAGGAGGAGGAGGAGCGAGACTGACAGGGGAAAAGGCGAGCAGGAGGCGGGGGAGGAATGTGGAAGAGGAAGCTGATTGTGGCGGGTGGTAATGGGGGGTGACCTAAATGGGGGATGAGGAAAGGGCCCTAAAGGAGCCCCTTGAGGGCCCTGCTCTTCACCCCCAATTTGGGTCACACCCCATGACTACCCGCCCGAGAGGAGGAGGAGAAGGAGCGAGGGTAACAGGGGACAAGGGGAGCATGAGGCGGGGGGGGGAAGTGGAAGAGGAAGCTGGTGAAGATGACCATCGATCGACACTGCAGCATCGGCACCAGCAGCAGTCATGCACTCCCTGAGGCTGCGCCGGGGCTGCAACTCTTGAAGAGTCCGCCGAACCGCTCTCGCAGGCCGGTGCACGGTTGGGCACAAGTTCGTTGGCGCCTTCGGTGCGGGCGGCCCGCTACGCAGGCCAGGCAGCACGCCAGCCAGGCTGGTGAGGATGATGACGATGAGGACGAGACGGCGGGGGGCCGCAGCAAACGTTGCAGCTGGCGCTTCTCTGGGCACATCGGAGGTCAGGGAGGGCGAGCAGGAGGAGGAGGGGAAGGGGAGAGAGGGCTGACTGGGGAGAACGAAGAGAGGGGGGAGAAGGAGCAGGGAGCGGAGTGAGGGGGAGAAGAAGAAGAAGAAGAAGATGAGGATGCATACGTAGGAGATGGAGGAGAAGGAGTATGAGGAAGAGGAGGAGTGCACGGCTGATGATAATGCGCTGCAGAAGCCCACAATGTATGTGTCACCGTCCCAAGCACACCCTAAAGTCGAGCAGTCGAGCTTGGAGTCGTTCGAATATGGGAAGGTGTGTCAAAGCCCGTGTGTTTATCCGTAATCCGTCGAATTGACTGCATCAGATTCAGCTCCGTCCGTCGCTGCATCGTGTTGGCGCCAGGGTGTCGAGACGGGGAGTGTTTGGGGAGAGCCTCAAAGCACTCATCTGAATACGCTTCGACTACTGGTTCAATTGCTTCGTTCCCGGATGACTCGGTCATGCTGACCCAGACCGATCGATAAATGTTGACCAGCGCTATGTGTTGGCCGCACCTCTGCCTCATTTCCCTCTGCCATCGGTTCGGCTCAATACCATGCTTCGTGCCTGCTTGTGTCTGCTTTCGCGCGTCTGTGCGCGGGTGCCTCGCATGCCTCTTTTCGGCTTGGTCGCGTTTCGATATCCCCTCGAGGAGGAGGAGGAGGAGGAGGAGGAGGAGGAGGAGGAGGCGGAGGTGGAGGTGGAGGAGGAGGAGGAGGAGGAGGAGGAAGGAGGCCCTGGGGCGGTGAGAGGCCCGCCTGGCCACCACGGTCGGCCACCCTCGCTGTCCCCATCCCGCCGCCCTGCTGTCTCCCCATGCTTCCCATCCTCCCCCCTCCTCCCCCTCCTCCCCCTCTCCTCCCCCTCTCCTCCCCCTCTCTTCCCCCTCTCTTCCCCTCCTCCCCCGCCCCCCCCCCTCCCCCCCCTCCCCCTCCCCTCCTCCTCGGGCCAGCGTGGAGGCCCCCTCGACTGGTCCGCGCAGCCCCTCCGGCGAGGCCCGCCCCACCCCCTCCGCTTCAGGGGGCAAGCCCAAGCGGAACGCCGGGGCGTTGCCGGCGGCGTCCGGCCACGAGGCTGGCCCGGCAGGCGCGGGCAGGGCGAGGAGGAGGAGCCAGAGGGGAAGCGGCGTCGTCGTCGCCGACTCCTCCCCCGTCTTTCTCTCCTCCTCCTCCTCCTCCTCCTTCTCCTCCTCCTCCGCCTCCTCCTCTCCTCCTCCTCCTCCTCCTCCTCCTCCTCCTCCTCCTCCTCCTCCTCCTCCTCCTCCTCCTCCTCCTCCTCCTCCTCCTCCCTCCTCCTCCTCCCTCCTCCTCCTCCTCCTCCTCCTCCTCCTCCTCCTCCTCCTCCTCCTCCTCCTCCTCCTCCTCCTCCTCCTCCTCCTCCTCTCTCAAGTGCGGCGCAGGCCCCGCAGCAATTTCCGCAGTGTTTTTCCGCTCGGGACCCTCGCTCCGTCTCAGCCTCATCGTGGCATTTGGGTGGCACCGAGACGACCTCAACTTTTCGTGACGCTCAACCAGTGGCGAAGGGGGACGAAATTCAGGCTCAGCAAGTTAGTTTTTGTCTTATCCCATGGTGTCCGTGGAGGCGGTGAGCTTCGGAGTGACAGATCGGATCAGGTCCATCATAGGTTCGGCCGTCCTCCTACCTGTGCTGGTCCACGCGCTCGTTCTCCCATGTCACGCTCGTGTTTGCCACGTTCCCGTCCTGGGGTGTGGGAGGTGTCGTTTGTGCCTTTCTCCGAACCCACCTCAGGGGTTTTCTTGTCATGGGGTTGTATTTCAAGTTTGTGGTCGTCCTCCTCCTCGGTCGGCGTCGAGGCTTTGTCTCACAGCAATCCATGGGTTTAGTTTGATATGGCAATCAGTGCTCTCGGGCATGCGTGCGAATTGTGTTTGTCACTCGTACGTTTGACTTCTCAGCACACAATTGTGGTGGGCACTCTGTTCGTCAGTGGGTATGGATTTGTATGTTAAATCGGTCATCGTTGCGCCACGATGGACCTGAGTGTTCAGCTCGCAGTAGCGGTGAAGTGTCGCAAACTTGTCATCAGGTAGTTCACATGTTTCGCGCTGCGGGACAGCCTCGTTTCGTCCGTCTTCTGAGCTTGGGGGAGACCTTCTCATCAACATTTCGTTTTATGGTCACGCTCATGCTCCTCCTGCTCCTCCTCCTCCTCCTCCTCCTCCTGCTCCTCCTCCTCCCCCTCCTCCTCCTCCGCCTCCTCTTCCCGGGGGCGCAGGCGGAGGAGACGGCGGAGGAAGGGGGGCGCACGCGCATCTCCGTCACACCCGCGCGAGCATTCGCTGCGTGCGCACACGCTGGCGGAAGGGGACCTCCGTGGCCACGTCCGCGGACGCGTCCGCGTGCCCGCGCAAAGTGGTCGGTCGCCACATATTCAAGAGTGACGAGTTGCGTCGGGTGCTGCTGCGATAGCGTCTTGTGTTTCTGCGAGAGCGCGCGTGCAGGCGCGCGCGCGTTGCGTGCGCGCGCGCGAACGAGCATGTCCACAGTTTCGTTTCACAGCGGTTGCGCTGCTGCGCCCCTGCCCGCCGAGGGCAAATATGTGCGCATACCTAATGGTTCCCTTGCCGCCGGCCCCGTCTCTATCAGAACGGGACATACGAGAGTCGCGTCCGTGTTTGGGAACAGCACGCGGGGGCAGATAGGTGTCATCTGCGCATATTGATACGCTGGCGTTATCCTAGTGGCCTTCGGCCCATCCCGCCACCGTGCGTGGGTTGTGGGTCTGAGGCCTCTTGTATATGTGTTGGGGTGTCGTGGGGGGCCTCTTGGAGGCGGTTTGGGCGCCTCTTGGGGGCCTCTTGGGGCCTCGTGGCATATCAGCTGGGCTTATTGGAGGCCTCTTGGGCGCAACTTGGGCGCCTCTTGGAGCCTCTTGACGGCTCCTTGGGGCCTCCTGGGGGCTACTCGGCATTCTTTACGCGGGATCGTGGCCTTGGGAGCGCGAAAATAATATTAATTACAAGAGATCGTGGCCTCGGGGGCGCGAGTGCTGCGTGATGTTTAAAGGGGATCGTAGCTTCGGGAGCGCGATTGTGGCGTAGCTTACGGGGGATCGTGGCCCCGGAAGCGAAAACGCTATATAATTCACAAGGGATTGCGGCCTCAGGAGCGTGAGCACTGTGTAGTTTACAAGGGATCGTTGCTCCGAGGACGCGAACACAGTCTAGTTTACAAGGGATCTTGGCTTCGGGGGCGCGAATGTGGCTTGAGTTGTGCGGGATCGTGGTCTCGGGAGCGCGAAAATCATAGGATTACGAAAGATCGTGGCCTCGGGGGCGCGAGTGCTGCGTGATTAAAAAGGGATCGTAGCTTCGGGGGCGCGATTGCGGCGCAATTTACGAGGGAGCGTGGCCCCAAAGGCGAGAACGCACAATGATTTACAGGGGATCGCGGCCCCAGGAGCGTGCGCACGGTGCATGTTACTAGGGATCGTTGCTTCGGGGATGCGAACACAGTGCAATTTACGAGGGATCTTGGCCTCCTCCTCCTCCTCCTCCTCCTCCTCCTCCTCCTCCTCCTCCTCCTCCTCCTCCTCCTCCTTGCGCGAACAGAATATAATGTACAAGGGATTATTGCGCCGCGGGCGCGAATCTCATGTATTCTCACGTGTCCCAGTGCCCCCAAGAAATTCGAAGCACGCGATTCGGGAGCTAAAAAGAGTGGTTTTCGGCTCCCCCCCTCGCGCGGGCAGTAACAATTTACACTGAGACGCAGAAAGCAATACTGCAAAATTGGAAACTGAAAGCTGGAACTGGTGAAGGGGGCAGCAAGCCTAATCCTCGCAGCCTGATGGCCCCGCAAGGGGGCCGGCGCATCACTGTGCGTGTCCGTGTGCGTTTATGCGTGGCCGCAGCCTCGGCTCCAGCCGCTCTGGTTCAAGGGAGCCGCGGATGCTGGCGCCACGGGGCAGGAGGTTCCCCCTACCTTCCGGCTCTTGTCATGGTGCCTCCACCTCCCCCTCTTCTTCCGCTTCCTCCTCCTCCTCCTCCTCCTCCTCCTCCTCCTCCTCCTCCTCCTCCTCCTCCTCCTCCTCCTCCTCCTCCTCCTCTCCCCTCCCTCCCTGTAGCGGCGGAGCCATCGCGTCCGCTTGTGGGATGCACGAGCGAAACACGTGCTGTGGGTGCATGTTTGGGGCATGCTTTATGTTTCATCAGAAATCCGCCTGTATGGGGAACATGCTCGACCTGAGAGAAGGAGAAGGCCTTCTCAGAAGGCGGCGGGCGGCGGGCCTTCTCAGGAGCCCTCGCGCCCTCTGAGAGGTGCTCTGTGTCTTCGGGGAAGGCTTCGAAGACGTCTCAGAAGGCCGAGGGGGACTTCCGGGCCTTCTGAGAAGGCCCCCTTTTCTCGCTTCCCCCGGGCGCGCCGCCAAGTGAGGAGAGGCGCTGTGTGCTGTCGCGATACGTTCCCCTTGCCCTCCCCCGCGCCTGCGCCGCCCACCCCTCTCCACTCCACTGCAACTTCCTCCCCGTTGCACGCCCAGGCACTCCGCATCTAGTCTTAGGTCGAGCATGTCCTTCTACAGGAAGAATGTTTACAAATATGATAAGATAGTATGTGCTGATTGTTCTAGCATGTTCAGGCTATGCTTGAATATATGTTTGCGATGTTCTTATGTTTCTACCAAATGCGCCTGTAGGGGGACATGCCCGACCTACATCCAGTCTGGGACTCGGTTCGAGTCGAGCCTCCAGCGCGCTCTGTGGGAAACAAAGCCAGCGTGTTCTTTTTTCCGCGCTCCCTAGATTGGCCAGCCGCTGCTGTTTCCGCACGCTAGCTGAAAAACACGCACATCGTCTTCGGCAAGGGCGTCTGGGCTGTTGCGTAGGATTGCTGATGTCCGCCACATTCTCCCCGCATGCGCCGTCTCGCGAGTTCGTGTGGGGCATTGCTGGATGCCTCCCCAAACGAGCGCCTCTTTCCAGCATGTTCCTGTGTGCCGTCAAGTGTGTACCTGTCCTCCCATTGGGGCACCCGCCTGGGGAAGGCCACGCGTTCAGTCGGTTCCGAAATCCACAAGAAGACGAGGGGATGAGGAGAAGGAGGAGGAGGAGAAGGAGAAGGAGAAGGAAAAGGAGGGGAGAGAACGGGCGGCAAAATCGCAGGGAAGGCAGAACTAATGGACAGGATGCGATGTGGAGGAAGGCAGCAGAGCAGGAGGATGATGGACGAGTGGGACGCAAAAATCAGAAGGCACACCCAGGATGCATCGACGAATCGACGATGCTGTAACACACCCTCCCGACCCGGATCCCCTCATGGGCCCTTGCAAACATTGTTCGGGTGCCTGGGTAAGGAAAGCCTCCCAGAGGGGCAGCGGATTTCCTTGTTTCTTGCCCCTGGACGGGCTTCTTCTCTTCTCCTCTCAAAAAAAAAACATTCCTATGCACCGGGAAGCGCGCCCCTTTTCCACACAGAGCGCCCCATGGGGGCTTGCCATTCTGGCGAGGGCCCCGTGGTGAACAGAAGCCCCCCTCAATTCACCCGACCCGAAGACCATGGGTCTCGCGCGAGATTTTCCCGCACCCTACAGAATGGTGCGCTCGCCTCATATTGTGCTTGTCGGACGCTCTCTCGCTCCTCGAAGGAGGACGTTTCGATGCCGAGCCAGGAAGGCGCTCTGTGCTTGTTTGTGTGTGTGTGTGGGCAACCGACGCTGCGTCAGGTCCGAACTGTGTGGCCAGAAAAAAAAATCACCTGACCCAAAGAGTTGCCACAAGGCAGGATCATGAGGTTCACGGAGTCGCTCTGGCAGCTAGCAAGGTACCCGTTGTGACAGAGAGAACCGCCCTTAATCCGGTAATTCTTGGACAGCCTTGCACGTTTGATCATGAATTGTGCGGGTCATCAAGCAAGAGAAACGTGTCGGATTGGATCCGCCCATCAGTTTATTGTTGCACAGTGTCCTAAGGTTTAGTCATGCAGTTGGGGAAGTTTTCGAGCGAGATCTAAATGTTGAAAAGGGTTCGCCCTCTATCAGATGTTCGCAGCGCTCAGGCGTGATCCGCTTTTTGAATATGGCCCACCGTCCATCGTAAATGTCTGAGGCTTTGAAGACGACAGTGTGCGGGCAACGTTCAGGCGATAACACATTTTGAAAAACCCGCCGTCCATCGGGGGAATCATTGGAGGTGTTCAAGACGAAGGTGCGTTGCGCTATGGCGAATACCACTTCTTGAAAACGGTCCGCCTTTCATCTGTGAAGCTATTAAAGAATGTAAGTTTCAGGATCACAAGCCGCGGGGAGCCTGGCCCACCCCACAGACACACGTGGCGGTGCGACGAGGAAGAGTCGTATCGTTATATGCACATGTGTACACGCACTACTAGGCACAAGGACGAAGACGCAGCAGCCGGAGGAGACAAGGAGGGAGCAGCACGGGAAGGTCGCGGTGACAAGAGGAGGCGGGAGAGGAAAGGAATGAGGAGCACGAGGACGACGACGACGACGACGACGACGACGACGACGACGACGGGCACGAGCAGCTGCAGGAGAGGGATCGCGAGGATAAGGAGGAAGCGGAGCAGGAGCAGGCGCGATCGGCCGAGCGCGGCCCCCCACGGCCACCCACCCCCCAGGATGACGGTGGCGGGCCCCGCTCCTCCTCTTCCTCCTCCTCCTCCGCCTCCTCTTCCTCCTCCTCCTCCTCCTCCTCCTCCTCCTCCTCCTCCTCCTCCTCCTCCTCCTCCTCCTCCTCCTCCTCCTCCTCCTCCTCCTCCTCCTCCTCCTCCTCCTCCTCCTCCTCCCCCTCCCTTTTCCTCTTCTGTCCTGTTCCCTCCCCCCTCGGCGCCCATCGCGCACTGCGAGCCCGGCATGACGGGCTCCCCCTCATGTACTTTCTGATTCTCTGTGTCCTGCTAAGCCATCCTTCTCCTGTTGCCTACCCTCCTGCACATCGCATCCTGTCCAATCGTTCGGCCTTCCCTGCGAGTTGCCGCATCGCGTGGAGAGAAACCCGTTCTCTCCCCCCCTTCTCTTCCTCCTCTTCCTCCTCCCCCATCCCCCTCCTCCGCCTCCTCCTCTCTCCTCCTTCTCACTCCTCCTCCTCCTCCTCCTCCTTCTCCTCCTCCTCCTCCTTCTCCTCCGCCTCCTCCTCCTCCTCCCTCCACCCCTCCTCCTCCTCCTCCTCTCCTCTCCTCCTCCTTCTCCTCCTCCTTATCCTCCTCCTGATCCTCCTCCTCTCCTCCTCCTCCTCCTCCTCCTCCTCCTCCTCCGCCTCCGCCTCCTCCTCCTCCCTCCACCTCCTCCTCCTCCTCCTCCTCCTTCTCCTCATCCTTCTCTCATCCTTCTCCTCCTCCTTCTCCTCCTCCTTCTCCTCCTCCTCCTCCTCCTCCTCCTCCTCCTCTCCTCCTCCTGATCCTCCTCCCCTCCTCCTCCTCCTCCTCCTCCTCCTCCTCCTCCTCCTCCGCCTCCGCCTCCGCCTCCGCCTCCGCCTCCCCCTCCTCCCTCCACCTCCTCCTCCTCCTCCGCCTCCTCCTCCTTATCCTCCTCTCCTCCTCCTCCTCCTCCTCTGGCCCCGGCCTGGCCTGGCCCGCGCCCACCCCCCTGGAGGCCCGCCGCAGCGGGCCCCGCTCACCGCACGCTCCCAGGGCGCCTCCTCGACGGCCGCGCCACGGGCGTCGCAGAGGAGCCCCCAAAGGGCCTCTCTCCTCTCGGGGGCGGCCAGGGGAGGAGGAGGAGGAGGAGGAGGAGGAGGAGGAGGAGGAGGAGGAGGAGGCGGAGGCGGAGGCGGAGGCGGAGGAGGAGGAGGAGGAGGAGGAGGAGAGGAAGAGGAGGGGAGGAGGAGGAGGAGGAGGAGGAGGAGGAGGAGGTCTCGCTGCCCGAAGAGTTATCCCACGAGGCGGCTGTCCACATGTCTTTCGTCCTGCACCGTGGCACTCGTGTCGTTGGCGTGTCCACACACTCATGTCTGTAAGAGTGCAGTCCTTTCAACCTCTCAGTGGGGCAGGGGGGCCCGATCTCGGATTGGTTCGCCTCTCGTCTGCCTTGTATGTGTGCATGTAGAAGGAGGAGGAGGAGGAGGAGGAGGAGGAGGAGGAGAAGGAGACAGGAGGAGACAGGAGGGGGGGAGATATCATGGTGTGGGCCATGATGTTTCCTCAGATTTCATGGCGCCTCTTCTTACAGTGGGGGCCCATGCCAAGAAACACCCTGCTTGCCTCCAGGGTGCCCTGGGTTTCTCGGGTTTCGCTGGCTTTGCTGCGGGAGGTGCGACGTCCCCACGCCAAACATTGATGGACGTCCTGGGGTCTCAGGGTTGGGTTTCTTGTGGAAGGGGGGAGGGGATATCACGGCGTGGACCATGCTATTTCCTCAGATTAGATTTCATGGCGCCTCGTCTTATTTCATCACGTCCCTGGTCCCCCCCCCTTTGGGGCCGCGCACGTGCCGCCGGCCACGATCTGCGCCCCCTTCCCCTCTGGGACGCTCCCTTCCTCGGCCGCCCCCCGACGCTCGCAGGCCCTGCCGGCGACGGCGACGGGAGCGGTGGCGGCGGTGGCGGCGAGGGGCACGAGGAGGAGGGGAGGGAAGGAGGGGGGGGAGCAGGCGGAGGGGGGAGGATCTGCACGCACGAAATGGGAACATAAAGAATGGGTACAATGCCCAACAGCAGTTTCTGTTTATTCTGAACAGGGCTCGCTGTCCGCGCCGCCGCAGCCTGTGTCCATTCGAAACAGGAGGCCGCCCGCCCAACAGCGGCCGCTGTTGGTGTGGGACAACATTTGCTGTTGGGCATTGTACCCATTCTTTCCGTGCCCACTTCGGGCGTCCAAGGAGGAGGAGGCGGGGATCCCCGGTGAGGCTCTGGACTGCTCCTGCTCCTGCTCCCCATGCTCGGCGACGAGCGAGGAGGGGAAGCGAGGAGTAGAGGGCCGTCTCGGAAGGCGGCGGGACTTCTCAGGAGCCCTCGCGCCCTCTGAGAGGTGTTCTGAGTATTCGGCGAAGGCTCAGAAAACTTCTCAGAAGGCCAGGGGACTTCCGAGCCTTGTGAGAAGGCCTTCTCCTTCACACTCGAGCGACGCGAAAAAGACAGGGTCGTCTGCGCCCGACGTTGGCGCGCAAGCTGCCCGCGTGAGGCCGCGCGCAGGTGCCCTCGTCTTCCAGGCAGCGCACCGCGCTGGCGGCCCGCGGAAGCCACCGCGCAGGGCCGCTGTGTCACCTCGCGCAAGACCCCTCTCTGATCGCCGCTCACCTCCACCCAGGCTCGCCGCCTGCGTGCGCCTCCCGCGGGAGGAGGAGGAGGAGGAGGAGGAGAAGGAGCGTGGAGGAGGAAGGACGAGGAGGAGGAGGAGGAGGAGGAGGAGGAGGAGGAGGAGGAGGAGCGAGGAGGAGGAGCGAGGAGGAGGAGGAGGAGGAGGAGGAGGGATCGAGCCCGCCAGGCTCCGCAGGGGGCCGGCACGCGCGGCCTCGCGGGACGAGCGGGGCGCAGTTCGTCGGCGCTGTCTCGAGCCGGCAGGCACGCCGCGCCCCCTGCGGACAGCAGCGCTGTGGAACGACGGATGCCCACGGCTCCAGAGCCTGTCATAAAACGACACGAAGATCGGGGCAAAATCGGATCGGGATAACTCGAAATCTCTGAGAATCGGCGGGTTTGGAGGATGTATTGGGCGCCGCGGCCGCTCCAGAGCGTTCCGGAACGCTCTGAGAGCGCTCCGGAACGCTCTGGAGCGACTTATCCCGATCCTAGCCATGTTTTATGTCACCCTGCAGGCGATCGCAGACATGGATCAAGGGGGCGCGGATTAGCGTCATGTCGGGCCTGTCCCCCTACAGGGGGATGTTCAAAGAAAAATTAAGAATACCCAAAAAAGTACCCGAAAAGCTCAAAAGGTTCTATAGGCTTACGCCACATCCGCCGACCCCTCATCTTGGCGGTCTTGCCGGCTCGCTTGAATCGGGCTGGGGAGTCGTGTAGGGGTCCATAATGACCTCTCTTGGGGCTATGTGGAATCCGCTTGGGGTCATCTCGAGGCCCCGGGGGGCCCATCGGAAAAGAAAGGACGCTAATGCAATCTTGGCATCGTTCTGGAGATGCCCAAAGGGTGGAAGCGTTGGATTGGGGCCCGTATATTTCTTGCTGGGGGCCGTTTTGAGGCCGTTTTGGGGCCTCTTGGGGGCCTCTTGGGGCCTTTGTGGGCGTCTTGGGGGCCTCTTGGGGCCTCTTGGGGCCTTCTGGGGCCGTCTTGGGGCGGAAGGCTCGGATTGTCGGTTCGGGCTCCCCCTCTTGGGCACCTCTTGGGGCCGTCTTGGGGCCCTCTTGGGCTGTCTTGGGGGCCTCTTGGGCCGTCTTGGCGCCCTCTTTGGCCGACTTGGGCGCCTCTTGGGGACCTCTTGGGGCGGTCTTGGGGTGCTCTGGGACCGTCTTCAACGCCGTGAAGGCCGACAAGTAGTATATGATCTAAAAGATAGTCCCCTGACTATTTTATATTACTTTTTAATAATGTTTGGGGTATTTTTTATTTTTCGTCGAAAATCCCCCTGTAGGGGGACAGGCCCGACTTACGATTAGCGACGGGTCCCGTTTCCATGGGAAATCGCGGATCTCCGCCGCCGAACGAGGCGGCACCGGCCGCATTTTGGGGAGGGCGCCTCCTCCGATGCATGGACTTGGCGGCCGCGCGCCGAATCCATAGATCGGTGTTCCATGTTTGCGCGCCCCCGAACCTTGGCACCACAACACGCAACCGCATTGGATAATGGACCACAGCTTGCGATTCCAGGACAAGAAGTGCCGCGACCGAATTTCCCACCGCAGGCGAAGAAGTCGACATCACCGATGTTTGAAATGGGACGCGCGCTCAGCGACCCGAACGACTACCCACTAGGATATCCAAATGGTTTCCGCCAGATCCTCCAAATTACAGGCCAAGTCTGCCAGGCCCGCATTGACAACTGCCACCATCTGGCACCTTGCCAACGGGAACGAACGGCCAATCCCGCCACTCAGGCAGCTAGCAGCATCACCAACTGATTGTTCTGTCGCGACGACCAGGGATTTAGCAGAAATGCGCGTCAGAAGCTTTGGTCGTACCCAACAGACCAACTGGCACAGTGGACCCATCATTCGACGCACAGCAGTCTATGAGAAAGGCAGTTGAAGACGCAGCAACGCGCGAACATAGAATTGCACTTGAAGCCACCTCGTGACGTCGAGACACCCTGCCACCTGCACGACATAAAGCTACACCTCAAACATGCAGGCCTGAAACTCGCCGCAGAAATGCAGTTGGTCACGCGTTAATGCGTATGCCCGTCGACATGTTCCAGCATGTATTGCGACCTCACCTCCCAACATGATGCCGCTGGTGTTTCGAGTGACGATGCACAAGTTGGCTTGCCGATGCATGGGCAATATCATGCTTAGCAACACGGCGGTGCACTGACCAATACGCCAGCACATCCACAAAAGAGAGAAAACTCCGATTACATCCCAAATCAGAGTACCCAACGTGGAGATGAGCAGTCGATGTGGGAGCCAGTAGACCACCCAGACCCCGACGCCCAGCAATCGTTTTATAGACGGCGCCGACTTGCTACAGTCACACAGAATAAATCTGCATCTTACCCAACGAACGTGTACGCAGGAGACCGCCCACAACGGCGCAAGCGCATATATATAGAGAGAGATCTTATAATGTATGTCTATATACATACGATGGCAAAGGCCACGAAAAGGGCAAGCCCACGATACAGTGCGCTGGATGAGGCGGCGTTGAATTTGCAGCTTCATTCAGCTCTGCACCATCACAACCACAGCCGGTGCGCGCCCATCATGAGCGTGGCGCAGCGGCATAGGTGAGCTGTTGTATTCGCAGGGACAGGCAACAGATCGCTTCAGCCGGCATAAATTGTTCCATCGGGAGTGGGGAGATGATTTGGTCGAGCGCGACAGCACCGCGCATTACGATTGTCCAAGTTGTAGAGGAACAGGGACAGAAACCGCATTGGTCCAACATATCCCACGCGCCGCGACTTCTGATCAGGATGGCGCCAGCGCCAGAATGATCAGCCAGCAACATCAACAGCCTGGCGCCAGGGCGATGGAGCAATATCTTAAGCATAAACACAACTGGGGTAGTTGTTTATTCATTGTTTTGTCGATCGGCGCGGGCCCTCGCCCCCCCCCTCCCCCCTCCACCTGGAGTGGATCTTGGCTGTTTTTTGGCGCCTGTTTCGAGCAGGTGGAGTCTCCCTCCCCCAGAGGCGCACGGTGCATACATGTGTGTGTACCGCACGGGTCGCAGGAATGACCCGTCTTTGCAGCAAGAGGACGCGCGCTCATAGATGACATCAGCACCAGAAGAGTAGCGGAACGTGTCGGGTATAGACTCCTCGAGAATCCGACAAGGCGCCCTCGCCCAGGTGCCAAACCGCAACATTATTACAGCCGGAGCCCTGAAGAAGGAACCCTTTTCCGTTGGAGAGGGGCTCGGTGTTCCTTGTTTATTTTGCAGTTTGCTTTGGGGTTTCCCAAGGTTTTCCATGTGAAATCGAAGTTTAACTTACGGGACAAAGGGGCGTCGTTCCTTATTTAGGGTTCCTTTGGTCAACGCCCCGACTGTATTATTGGAAGCTTCGGTTTCCGATCGAGCGTTCCCGTCGCCGCATCGCAGCAAGGAAACGCAG